GTTGATATTACCTAGTTGGGTAGCGAAACGTCTGCCAAAAAAAAAAAAAAAAAACCACCTCACCAAGCTCAGAGAACTGCAAGGACCCCATAGTTCAACCCCGAGCAACAAATATTATCTTCTCTCGGTACACTGGGTGTTGGTTAAATGATCCTAAAGGTTGGCTTTGTGGCTCCTCTTTTTGGCCAGTTGGATGGATCTCGTGGCCCTTCGGACTTTCATGGTCCCCTATTTGCATTTACTGAGACTTTCTCTGCTATCAGTGTTGTGGTCCGCTGGCATCCTGCGGAGACGGCAGCAGATTCGGACAGCAGGGAGGAACACGGGCCAGTTCGGGAGTCTGGGGAGGACTCAGACGAGGGTCCTGCGTCCGACGCAGAAATGGGGCCAGGGCCATCTGGGAGTTATGTGCTGACTCCAGAGCCTCCAGAATCTGGCAGCAGCGAGGTAGACGAATAGCGGGAGCCTGTTCCCAGTGTGCACATGCGCAGAGCTGCCAGAAGGCAAGAACAGTTAAGGCAAAAGGGGCAACTCAAGAGTCAGGCTTGGAGGTGATTGGTTCTCCCATAAAACATAAAGGCGGAGCAAAGGGACAGGAGCCTTTGCAGGAAGCAACTTTGTTCGTTCTGGTCGTTGGAAACCTGAAGCTCCGTGTTGAATTTGTGCTCCGTTTGGCCTCGTATAACTAATTGGACATTTAGTCATTGGCAGCATTTCAAGGGAGATAAAGGTGGGTGCTTATCAGACTTATCCCAAAGGACTGTGGGAGGTTTCCGTTGGACTATTCACAAACTCTTTGGGGCTCATTACGGGGCTGCGAATGACTAAAATTCACAGCCGTTGAAATAAAGAAAAACGGGGTTTGGGGACTAACCTGTGTTTGTTCGTGTCTCCATAAGCCTCGGTCAGGACCATCCGGGTTTTTGAACGGTGCCGTCTTGCCTTGCAGCATGAGGACAATTTCTCCAACGATTGCCTGGTGGAATTGAACGAGTCTCAATCCAGAAACGATTACCATTTGGTGCGCCAGTACCGCACCCCGCACCACCTTGTGCGCTTCTACTTCATCACCCGTGCTTATTCGTCCTACGTGGAGAGCATCTTGAATGACTTCCGGGCGGCTCTGGAGGCGGACCTGGTCCCCGATGTTGTCATCCTGCATTCTTGCCTCTGGGACCTCAACAGGTAAATCGGACCGGCCGGTCCAGCCCGACTGCATGGTCCTCGACGTACAACTGAGGCAAAATTATACTGTCTCTAATCGAGGAGGATATGTGTGGCTCGTTGGGGGGGTGGAAAGGAAGGGCCTTTGGAGGTCCCCAAGTTTGGGTTTTTTTTTTCCCTTTTGGACATTTTATGACCCATCTAGGCAACGTCATCAAAGCTCAAAGAGAAGGGGTGTTTGCAGAGAGGAGGGGAGGACCGTGGGGTCCTCGGTGCTCTCTGAGCTTGGTTGTTTTCTGCAGACATTTCATGACCCAACTAGCTAGTATCATCAGTGCTAGAAGGCAGTGGAGTTGGAAGAGGAAGAAGAAGATGGGAGGAAGATAAAATGAGAAGCAGGAGGAGGAAGAAGGATAGAAGAGGAAAAAAGAGAAGGAGGAGGAGGACTGTAGGGTCCTCGGTGCTCTCTGAGCTTGGTTGTTTTCTGCAGACGTTGCATGACCCAACTAGGTAATATCATCAGTGCTAGAAGGCAGTGGAGTTGAAGGAGGAGGAAGAAGATGGGAGGAAAATAAAAGGAGGAGGAGGAGAAGGATGGAAGAAAAAAAAGAGAAGGAGGAGGACTGTCTGGGTCCTCGGTGCTCTCTGAACTTGGTTGTTTTCTGCAGACGTTACATAACACAACTAGGTAACATCATCAAGGCTAGAATGGAAGGGAATTTGCAGACAGGAGGAGGAGGAGGAGGATTTGGAGGAGGAAGAGGAAGAGCGGTGGAGAACTGTGGGGTCCTTGGTTCTGAGTTCCATTGTTTTCTTGCAGACGTTTCATGACCCAACTAGGCCTCGTCATCAGTGTTTCAGGGAGGTGGGATAACCCTGACGATGTGACCTATTTGGATAATGAAACGTCTAAACATCCTACCAGTTGAGCCCAACCCCACGGTGCTCAACGTACGACCGCAACGGAGCCCGGCATTTTACGACAACGCTAAGTGAGAAATGTGCGCTTTGTCCCATTTGACGGCCTGTCTCGCCTTGTTCGCTGAGTGAATCGTGGCCGCTGTTAAATGAGTCATGCCGTCCTTAAGCGAATCTGGCTTCCCCGTGGACTTAAAAGGTCACCAAAAAGGATCGTCATGAACCCCGGGACGCAGCCAACCATCATAAGGACCGGCCGATTGCATTAAAATTTGATCCCGGGAATGGTCATTAAGTGTGAAAAATAGTCGCAAGTCCCTTTTCAACGTGCCATCCTAACCTGGAACGGTCCCTCAGTGACCTGTTGTGAAGCCCACTCACTTCCCCATTCCGCGTAGATACCACGAGGCTTTTCCCACGGAGCCGCCGATCCCCAAAGCGATCCGAGAATACCGCCAGAACGTGGAGAAGCTCTTCCAAGCGTTGGACGACGTCCTTCCTTCAAGCACTCTCATCATTTGGAACACGGCCATGGCCATCACCAAAGATGCCCGCGGATACGTCATCGAGGTGAGAAGATCGATGTGTTGGGATTCCGACATTTACCCCGATTTAAATCATGAGTCATGCGCCAAACTTCTAAAACATCAAGCATCGTCACAAAATCGCCAGAATTGTAAAGCCTACAAACTTGAAATTTGGCACCTATGTTCCTCTTGGCTTCTAGGGGCTCACTAAGAAAGGATTTTTGGAAATAACCATCAGAGCATTTAGAATATTTCCTATATTATTATTATTATTAACACGCTCTGATGCTAAGGAGTCCTACTCCCCCTCCCCACCTGAAAAGAAATCCCTTCCAAAGGCAAAACAGAAGCAGAGGAGAGGAGTTTAGTTTCGCTTTCACAGCACCAAGCAGCTTTAATACAGAATAGTTGAGCTCAGCCAC